TCCCAGGAGCACATCAGGGCTGGGTCCACCGCCCAAGTGAACACTCGCCTCCTGCAACTCAGGTCCTACCAGCTAGAATGCAGAGAGAAGAGGAGCCCCAGCTTCGCTGAATGAGGCAACCGACAGAAATGGGGCTGGGGACTCTCTGACGAAAGGTGCCCAGGGTCCGGCTCAGGACGCTCAAGGGCGGGGACAAAGCTTGGCCTGCTCTCCAGCCGCTGTTACCTACAAGCAGAGGACGGTCCGTGCGTGTCTCAGCCGGGGCAGCTCCCACTCCCTCCCCTCCACCCCCCTCCAGGAAGGGGAAAAATCCCAAGGCAGATTCGTTCACAGTCACCACTGGGTCACTAGAGGAAAAGAACTGACAGGGTCTGGGTCCCTCCAGCCACCAGAGGGGAGAGGGTCCTCCACGCACAAAGGCTGGCGACGGGAAAGTCACGTAAGATGAGAACGCGTGGGGCTCCACACGCGGAGACACGAGGAATGTGGCAGCTCCGGGCTGACGCAGGGGCCCACACACAGTAGGCCGGCACACACAGCAGGGTCGGCGCATGGCCGGGCTGGGCGCAGGGTGGGCTCTGCAGGAGTCCCCGTCACTGCCCAGGCTTCCCTGCGCGCTCTGAGCCCAGCTGGATGTGCATCCCCCGCCACTGCCGGCTCGCCTGGCCCCTGACCTTATTAGGCAACTGCCCAAGAGCAATCCGCAGACACTCACGGCGGCGCCGCTGCCCGAGCCAGGCCAGGCTGGATGCCGGGGAACACCAGGCCGGGTCAGTCCCTCGGCCTGGGCGTTCCGGGCGGGCGAGGTATGTGCTCACTCCCCGTTTCTAGCATTTTGCCAGCCCAGGGAGGAGAGGAGGGAGCAGCAAGCTCTCCCACTGCGTCCCCACATGACGCCGTCTGCCCACAAGCCCATTTTAAGGTTTTCCTTCCAAAGTTGAGAGATGTCATCCCAGACGGCGTGGGAAGGCAATGCCGTGTGAATTCTAGGGAGGACTGCGGGGACCCCCACGTTACAGGGGAAAACAGCTCCACGGAGATCAAAAGTGGTCTGGTCTTGGGGGCCTGGTCTTGTTGCACAGTGGGTAAAGCCGCAGCCAGCAGCACCCGCATCCCATGCAGGCGCTGTTGAGTGCCGGTTGCTCCACTTCCAATCTCGCTCCGTGTTAATGCTTCTGGAAAAGCAGTGGAAGATGGCCCAAGCATTTGGACCCCTGCACCCGTGTGGGAGACCCAGAAGCAGCTCCCGGCTCCTGGCTTTGGCCTGGCGCAGTCCCGGCAGTTGTGGCCATCTGGGGAGTGAACCAGTGAATGGAAGACCCCTCTCTCTCTGTCACTCTTTCAAATAAATATATCTTAAAAAAAAAAAAAAAAAGTGGGCTGGTCTTTGGCAAGTCAGCGGCTGTGACTGCCCCACGCCGTCCATGTGCCGCTTCACTTCTCCCCTGAGTCTGGACCCCTGCGTTCTCTGACAAACACCTAAGAGGCCCTTTCCGATGCTGGCACCTCTAGGGCACGGGAGATTCCCCACCCCCACTGAGAGGAGGAGCCAGCTCTTGCCCCTCCTCTTTCTCTCTCGGAATCAGCTACGCCAGTCCTGGACCCGGGAGAGCAGAACCGCCCCCGTGCCCCTTTCATCCACTCCCGAGATGCCCACGACCCAGACCCTGCCCTTCCCGACAGCCCAACCTGCAGCTGGGCTCCCTAGACTAGAGCGTCACGCCCTGTGCCAGCAAGTCATCGACTGTGTGACCCTGTCCCTGCAGTTCTGTCCAAGGAGTCCCTTGCTCATGGATGCTCCCCAGGGTGCTAAGGAGGACACTGGCCCCCAGCCGGGGAGAAGCAAAGGGCATCTCCCTGTAGCAGATGCAGGCAGAGCTGACGACGGGAGCGGAGCCCACGCCGTGGATCTCCCCCTCCACTGGCACCTACTGACTGTGGTGGGAGGCACAGGAGACGGCAACAGGGGGGGCCAGGCCGAGGGCTGCAGGCTGGTGCAGCGCTGCAGACAGACCTGCCTGGAATACTAAGTGGCTCCGGTCAGCCCTGGCCTCCGGGCTGCAGGCGGGGACCGCTCAGTCCCGCCCTGCCCTGTGCTCCTGGCTCTGAGGGCCTCTGCCCAGGAGCAGACTGGCAGCACTCGGAGGACACGCTGGCCACCGCCGGGGAGGAGGTGAGAGTGGCAGGGAGACCTCGGGGAGGGAGACCCAGCACCCTGCAACGCGGAGCGAGGGTCAGGCCCTCGGCACACTTCTCGCCTCGTTTCTCACCCAGAGCCTCGCTCCTCTCCAGAAGTCCTACCTCTCCCTCCATGCAGAGGGGTGGGATGTGAGGCCTGTCGTGCTGAGCACCCACTATGCACCAGGTGCCACAGTAGGCACTTGATGTAAAAACTAGAAATTGTGTGTGTGTGTTTGTGTGTGTGTGTGTTACTACCCAACATACTGGTTGGTCCAAGTGCAAAACCTGCCATCATTATTGCATAGATGAGGGTATTTCAAAAGGTTCGTGGCAAAATGGAAGTAAAAGCTAAGTTTATTTTAGTTAAGAATTTTTTTTTTTAAATTCACACATAGGTTTTTCATGAACTTTCTGAACACTTGTCCCGTTTCACTGAGTCCTCACCAATGACCAACCCTAGAAGAACGTTCTCACTTTAAAAAAAAAAGTTTGGGGCCAGTGTCGTGGTGCAGTGGGGTTAAGCCGCTGCCTGTGACATCAGCACCCATGAGCGTGGATCTGAGCCCCAGCTGCTCTCCTTCTGATCCAGCTCCCTGCTCATGCACCTGGGGAGGCAGTGGA